TGGAACATCTCATAGTGCCAGAAAGTCAGGAAGTGCTCAAAAACAAAGCAAACATACCACTATGGGATGTGAAAAGGATACAGGACCAATGCAGCCAATGGCCAAAGCTAGAACAATTTGAACAACAAAATAAACAAAGTAGTATTGGATGGAAACCCAACATATAATATATACCCACTGAGTCCATACTGATATAAGCAAATGACTGAATAAGTAAATGACTGAGAGAATAAATCAATCTCCCAAGCAGAAGAATTGAAAATAATTTATGTAGCTAATCCATCTTCAAAGCAGAGGGTACATAAATCCTCACTCCTTAATTGTGGGCTGCACACACTTTTTCCCAAAGGGTAAAATAAGGAAAGAGGTACAAAAGAGGAACTACAAAGTGGACAAACACTGCTGTAGCCAGGTGACCAAAGTTAACATCAACAGTGACAGGTCATGTTGATAGTGTGTAACTCTGATAAGGTGTGATAAAAATGGAGCCGTGTGCCGGGTTTCGTTTTCGTGACTAAAAGGCTCAGGGGTCACTCCAGGGAAACTGGGCTGACTGGGCTGCACAAAATAACCACACAAGAGACACAAATACCTTTTTCTTTGGGGTCGCTGTGACGGCTCCTCTGACTTTAAGGGTCCGCAGAAAGAGAGAGAGCAAGAGACAGCACACACACACACACACACAAGGGGTCAGGGGGCTGGGTCTATCTTCATGATGTCCACTGTCAGCAGGTTCACTGACACCTGGGTAGACCACACGCAAAGGCACTGAGAAGGGGACACACACAAGGCACTTCCATGGAACATTCTATTCTAAACAGGGCAAGGGGTTATATTACAAAGAAACAGATGAGCGTAGCTCCACCCATGGGGCTGTAGCAAGACACACCCATGCATGAGACACCAGTCCCTGGAACCCAAGAAGGGTGGGGAAAGCTCTGCCACATTTCTGGGACTGAGCGCCTCAGCACCCAGCCAGGAAGTGTGATTCAGTCATGTGCAAGGCTGGTCTCCCACAGCTGTGGTCTCCTCCCCAAGCCCAGAACCCCAGTCTAATCAGGACAAAAACATCAGATGGATCCCAATTGAAGATCACTCCCCAAAATACTGGATCAGTACACTTGCAAGATTGTCAAAAGTCATCACAAACAAGGAAGTCTGACAAACTGTCACAGCCAAGAGGAACCTACAGTATTGGATGACTCAAAGTATGATTGGATAACCCAGACTGGATCCTGGAACAGAAAAAAAATGGTAAAAACAAAATATCTGAAGTTTTGATAATAACTGAGTGTGGGCTTTAATGAATAATTATGTATCAATATTGGATCATTAGTTGTGACAAATTTACCATGGTAATGGAAAACACTAATAATAGGGGAAACTAGGTTTGGAATATATGGGGCTTTGCTAAACTATCTTCATAATTTTTCTGTAAAGCTATTCTAAAATTAAACGTTTAAGAAAAATGCCAATTGTTTGCTGGGCTTGGTGGTGCACACCTGTGATTCCAGCAACTTGGGAGCTGAGGCAAGAAGATTGCAAGTTCCAAAGCCAGCTTCAGCAATTTAGTGAGGCCCAAAGCAACTTAGTGAGACCCTGCCTCAAAATAAAAAATAAAAAGGGGACTGGGGTTGTGGTTCAATGGTAGAAATGCTCCCCTAGCATGGGCGAAGCCTTGGGTTCAATCCTCAGCACCACATAAAAATAAATAAATAAAATACATGTATTGTGTCCAACTACAACTAAAATAAAAATTATTTAAAAAAAATAAAAGGGCTGGGGATGTGGCTCAGTGGTTAAGCACCTCTGGGTTCAATCCCTAGTACCAATAAAATTTTTTTTTTTTTGTTTGATGGATAACAATTGATTAGGCCCACAGGAAGGACAGAACACTTCAAAGTTGGACTTTCCAGCCTACAAGAATGGGAGTAGCTATTAATTTCAATGAAGGGTAAAGGTATAAAGAGAAAGAAATGGTTAATAGGTACGTGTATGTGTGTGTGCATGTACCTGTACTGCATGCTAGCTAGCAGTACCTATTAAGGCCAGCTGCACGTAGAGGTAGGGCAGCTAAATGTCTGGGTGACAAAACCCTCCTCCATTCCTGCAACAAGCTTTGCCTTCCATCCACTGAAGCTGGAGGCCAGAGGGCACAGTTAGGGGGCCATTACCTTCTGTTAAGATGGTGCTCCTCACATGAGCAGTATACAAATGATCTCCTATAAAGGGACAGATACTACCATATTTCTCTAAGAATATTCCTGGTGAGCTCAGTTATAGTAACTATAGGTTAAGAAACTAAAGCCTGTCTTAATCTAGGAAGTATTTTTCAGTTGTAAATGATCACTACAGGAGTTGAGTTTATAGGGGTAGGAAAGATATTGCTTTTGAAATGAAAATTCATAATTTAAAAGTTCTCTTATCATTTGCAAAGCTTTGACAAAAATCTCCTTGGATGCTCAGGTTAGAAAGCATAACATTGGTTGTCAAATCAATGAGAGAGAAAATGAAAGGGCACAGTTGTGGGAAGCCCTAGGAATGACAGCTATGCAGGAGGCCCAGGACAGCCACCTTAGAAGAAGGAGGCTTTAGGAGACAGGTCTTCCAGGAAAGAAGTGTAATTGAGAGTGATCTGTTGCCTGGCCTGTGAGGAATCAGTAATAGGTTCACAGCAAAAGAAAGAGAGGCAGTTGTTAATTTCAGAAAAAAAGCAAAACACTGTACAGAAGAGCAAACAAAGGTAATCATGATGTACTGTCTGGCTCAGTAGTAAACAATATTTACATAGTCATAATAATGTAAACACTAAAAATTAATTTAACAAAAATTGTAATGCAACTATTTTAAGATGGGGAGAGTAAAAATGGGAAGATTCTAGGGGCTGGGGTTGAGGCTCAGTGGTAGAGCACTTGCCTAGCATGTGAGACACTGGGTTTGATTCTTAGCACCACCTATAAGTAAAGAAAATAAAGGTCCATTGACAACTGAAAAAAAAATACACATACATATGTTCATATGTATATATATATATATATATATATATATAAATAAAATGGGAAGATTCTAAAGGTGATACACCTTTATGTAACTTAACAGAAAGCTAATAATGTCTAAAATTAATAAATCAAGAAATAGCTAAAAAAAGAGGAAAATATTGCCTTTGGGGAATAGGACTGAAAATAGAGAAGGGTAAATTGAGAATGTTTTTCATTATAATCCTTCAGTGCTATTAAGACTATTTTTTTCTGGGTCCTGGGGATTGAATCCAGGGCCTTGCACATGTTAAGAATATGTCCTACCATTGAGCTACACCCCTAGCCATTTAGACTTTTTCAAGTTTATATTATATTGCCTACATACGTTGATAATAGCCAAAAGATAATAATACTTTGTTATGGTTTGGATTTGAGGTGTCTCCCAAAAGTTCATGTGTGAGACAATGCAAGAAGGTTCAGAAGAGAAAAATACATGATTGGGTTATGAGAGCCTTCACCTGATCAGTGAATTAATCCATTGATGGGATTAACTGAGTGGTGACTGAAGGCAGGTGAGGTGTGGCTGGAGGAGGTGGGTAATTGGGGGTGTAACTTTGGGTTATATATTTTGTATCTGGAGAGTCTCTCTCTGCTTCTGATCTTCATGTGAGCCAATTCTTCCACCACATCTTTCACCATGTTGTTCTGCCTCACCTCAAGCCCAAGGGAATGGAGCCTGCTGTCTATGTACTGAGACCCCTGAAACTGTGAGCCAGCCCCCAAGTATATTGTTCCTCCTCTACAATTGTGCTGGTCAAGTCTTCTAATCACAGCAGCGGAAAAAGCTGACTAAAACATATCTTCCATCCTATTCCAAGTGAATCTGATCAAATCTGAAGGCAATCACTGTCTACACACACCTTGGATATAAGTCTGTAGGGCTCAGCAGCATTTGTAATGAGAACACTCCACCATCAGTGACAATGACTCAGTGAAACCCTGAGAATTCGGTATCTGGCAATGGTTCTGAGTTTTCCCCGAATCATCCAAATCCCATGAAATTATAAAAACATACAAATGTAAGATAGGCTCTATTTAGTTTCTCTCTAGGCCTTTTGCCAGATTCCCATCCTAGCTGCCTTGCCTAATGTGAATGTCCTGGCATGCAAATTTGTAGTTACAGTTGGGATTTTAAAGCTCAAACCACCAGGCACCAAGAGTTTATTGAGTGGTTCACACATGCTGTAGAGAACACACTGGCCAGTAATGAGTACAGTCTCTGGCCTCACTGGGCACAAGAGTCCCTAGCATGTTTTTTGAGTCTGGGGTCCCAAGCCTTGCACAAGGACCTATTCAGTCCATTGTGAACTCATACTGGCTGACCTTTCTGATGAGAACCTGTGTACTTATTTGCCTGTTATGGTTTAGATGTGGTATCGCCCAAAAGCTGTAAGGCAATACAAGAAGGTTTAGAGGAGAAATGATTGGGTTATGAGAGCCTTAACCCAATCAGTGAATTAATTCCCTGTTGGGGATTAATGGAGTAGTAACTGAAGGTGGGTAGGGTGTAGCTGGAGGAGGTGGGCTTTGGGGGTATGTCTTTGGGGTATGTATTTTGTATCTGATAAGTGGAGTTTCTGCTTTCTGATCATCATGGAAGTGGCTTCCTTCCATCATATTCTGCCTCACTTCTAGTGGAGGAATACAGCCAACTGTCTATGGACTCAGACCTCTGAAACCATGAGTCTCTGAATAAACTTTTCCTCCTCTACTATTCTTCTTTTAGTCACAGAAGCAGAAATGTGACTAAAACACTTGCCCTAGGATGTCAAATTCCCTGCAAACTGATTCTTTCTCAAAGAAACATACCTAGGTTCTAAGGTAAAAGTTCTACATTAATTTACTAAATTTTATGGAGTAGAAGGGTGACTTTCCTTATTCCCTTACTTCCCCCCACGCCCCGCTCCAGATTCCTTAAAAATGCTGGAAAAATTCATGAGTGAATTTACAAGGAGACGTCAATGGAGAGAAAAACCTTTATTTGCATAATAACAAATTTGAGTGAAGTAAGAAGAGGCATACGAAAACCATATAAAGGTGGAAGAATCTTGGTGGAAGAAGAGAAGAAAGAGAATTGGGGAAAAAAGAGCAGAGGCATTCTCATAGCCACAAATACGCTTGACTGTTGGCATCTGGACTCCGAGCGCTCCTTATGCTCCTTTGGGACTTCTTTCCTTGGCTCTAGTCTCACGGCTGGCCCCCTTTCCTTGGCTCACAGTCCCAAAGTGCTCCCTCCCCCAAATCCAATGGAGGAGTGCTTCTTCATACCCAATTGTGCTTGGCAGCAACTACTCAGAAGTTTTTACTTGGACTTTTTGCACCTCTTAGTGATTCTGACACCCTTGGACTGCCAGGAGTGGTTCTTCCTGCCACCAGAGGACTCTGGAATTTCTACTAAGGAAGGTCCTGGCCAATCAGTCCAAGAAGGGCCTGGATTCTCTTCCAGGCTGGTGTCTGCAGAAATGCTCCTGAGGGTGGAAGGTGCTGCTGCAGCAGGGAATATCATTTGAGTTTTCAGGTCTGTAGTCTGTGGTGAAAGAAAGGAAGGGAAGGAAAATGCAACCCTTTGTTTCTCCCAGGTGCAAGTAGGTCCTTAGGCCCCTCCCTAGCCACTTTCCTTCCAAATCCTTTTTTTTTTTTTGTACCAGGAATTGAATTCAGGAGCAATTAACCATTGAGCCACAACCCTAGCCCTTCTGTGTATTTTATTTAGAGACAGAGTCTTGCTGAGTTGCCTAGGGCCTCACTCAGTTGCTGAGGCTGGTTTTGAACTCATGATCCTCCTACCTCAGCCTCCCGAGCTGCTGGGATTACAGGCATGTGCCACAACACCTGGCCTCTCCTTCAAATCTTAAGGCTCCCAAAACCCCCTCTGGTGGCCTGCTTTCCTCCATCCCCAGGCACCACAAGTTCCCCAGCCCCAACCCAGTTCTTAGACCAGACCATCCCTCCAGCCCACCTATGGCTGAAGCAGAAGGTGAACACTCATCACACTCCCATTTCTTGCTGTTGGATCTAAGAGAGGAGCAGTCCCTATGGGTTCCGTGGGATCCACACGTAGCACACAGAATGAGGCTCCACTTCCTATGGGGAGAGCCAAGGGGGGATGTCGGGACAAACAGACATTAACTGCTTCTCTGGGGGATGTTTGCTATGGACCAGCCTTGGTTATGTTGACGGCTTTCACTATCCATTTTACTCATCTCAGATGTGTGAATTAGACCATGTGCTGATCCCAGGACCCTGTAGGCAGGCACAACCACTCATAAGGTGGATTTGGAAAGGAATTGGCTCTGAGTGTCTCTCTACTGGGCACAGGAAGAAGCAGACCATGCAGAGAGACTGGACCACTTGCACATAAATGAGTCAGAGCTGGTCAAAATGGGGTTAGCAATTGCATTCACCTGAGGTCTGCAGATAAACGACAACTTCTTGCTCCTAATAACTGTGCCAAGATCTAAGATGACACTGACAAGAGCTCTTTCTAGTCAGGGCCTTTTCCCTACCCTTCGTCCTGAAAGCTGTCTCTGCCTTGTTCGTACAGACAGATGGGGGCATCACAATGCTGATAGCGCTGATACAGTTCTGAGAAAGCCCCTGGCTCGAGTTCCCAGGCAGCATCTCTGCAGTGGGAGAAGAAATAGTGAATAAGGGACACAAAATCAGCTGGTGAAGCCTTTGTCCATCAAAGAGGAACTAAGAAGAAGCCCAAACTTCTCATTTCTTTTATCCCAGTGTGATTTTGAGGCACAGCAAAGGAGTCCAACAGGCTACCTGAACACCTTCAACAAGTGAGTGGCCTGGCTGTGAGAGGGGGCTGACGCAGGGTGACTGGAACATGAGGGTTCCTTAGTTTTGCCCAGGAATTCAAGAACCAACCTCACAGGGACTCCTGATCCCCAAAATGCCCTTTTTTTTTTTTTTTTTCAGAAACATCTTCCCATCCATTTTTTCCTTGCCTTTTCTTCTGATAACTGAAAAGCGCTCCTCCCACCTCTGGTATTCACTGTATGTCAGTGTCCAGCTGCTTTCATTCTCTGAACTATCCTCACATTCACCTAGTGTGATTTCTCTAGAAATCCAGGCAACCCATTCCCTGGCTCAATTCCTGCTTTATAGTTTTCTCTACCTGTCTGGTATATGAATTCCCATTCTTAGCATTTCTTGAGGAAACTCTTCTCGATTGTTACACTGAGGACATTTGAAGAAATGTTTTGCTGATGTGTGAGCATATTTCTATAAGAGAAACAGAAGGGCTTTGTGTTGGTAAAAACACTCACCACCTTCTTTTCCACTCTCACCCTCACCCAATGGGGGTATGGGAAAGGAGTTTGGGTAGGTTAGGATGAGGGCTGCAAATCCAGGTGCCAGGCCCGGGATCAAAATGCTTTCAAGAAAGTTTCCAGGCATGCATGCCTCAGCTGTCATCTCTGGTTATAGAGTTTGGCATGCCGACTAGGTAGGGGATACATTTCCTTTTCTTTTATCCCAATGTGATTTTTGAGGTTCTTTGAATTGTTCTGGGATGACTCCATTTGCTCTAGCAATCCCAAGGATTTTGCTCAGTCTAAATCTTTTCATGAATGAGGTCCCATAGGCCAAGGATGACCAGAGACTGGGCTAAGTTTCTGCTCTCTGACTACTAACAACTTTGCACAGAGGCCTTCAGCATGGTGTACTGAAGCTAAGATGTGACTGAGCATTCCCAGGGTGTTCTGGTTCCATGTAGAGAACTAAGGCAACTATGGAAGGTTCCCCCAGGGCAGAGAAAGCCCCACCTGGATGCACTTGCGGTGGTAGATAGCTTGACTACAACACGGGCTCTGGATGTTCTCAGCAATGGCTTGGGATAAGTTTTCACAACACAAGACACAGCTTTCCTCTTCCACATTCACCTGTTGGATGTTCTGTGTTGGCCGATGTTTTCCACAAAATGATCTGTGGCAGGGTAAATAGATTTGGTTTCTGGCTTGTCACTGATGCAGATTCCAGCCGCCTGGCCTAGGAGGACAATCAGTCATCCCGCCTGGTGCCTGGTGAATCTCCACACTCACAGGGAGGAGGAGGAGCAGGGTGAAGAACAGCCACATGCCTTCTCATGGCTGCTTTCCCACTGAGCAAAGCTCCCGGGATTGTCTCCACAGCTTCTCATTCCTGAAATCCCCCCTTACTTCAGAGCAGCTGTCTAAGAACCCCAGCTGTTTGTAATTTAAGGAGGGGATGAGAAGCAAGAAGAAACCCCTGTGAAATCTTCAAGTCAATACTCTGTTTCCCATTATTGAAAGGAGGAACAGATTCACTGGTGAATCAAAACAGGCCTATGAGAATCAGATTGTGATTTCATTAGTGCCTAAATAGCAAGTTGCAAAAGAGCAGCCTGAGTTTTCCAATTCCTCACTCACTTGTACTCTCCAAAAAATTGTGAAAGGCAACCCCTTTCTTGGCCACAAGGCAGATGGAAGTTTCGGATGCAGTGATCCTTCTGGCAGTTGATAGCGGCTCCCTTTTTCTTGCACACAAAGCAGATCTGCAAATGAGATCCCAGACAGTGCTCAGTACCCCAAGACAACAGACATGCTGTGGCACATCTGTGAATAACCATTCCTTTCGTTAGTGGTTGTGAAAGGTCCAGGGCCCCTAAAGCTGAGTTTCAAGGGGCACTTTTTTGTTTTGTTTGTTTGTCTTCAGGATGCTGTTCCCTCTTTTCACTTAGAATACTACATCCCAGAGGAAAATGGGGCTCAAGGACTAGGGCTGGGGAGAGAGGTGAGATAGTTCAGTGGCAGAGCACTTCCTTAGCATGTACAAGGCCCTGGGTTTGATCCCTAGCACTGCAAAAACAAAAAGATCAGTTGGGAAATCCAAAAGTCCTTTGACTTCTGACCTAGCAATTAGGGAAAGAACAGAAACAGGGATTCTGAGAGAGGTCTGAGAAAAGGCCTACCACGAGGTCCCTATTGCAGGGGGTTCTAACCTTCCTAGAAGCCCGGGCTGCCTCCTTTTTGATGTCTTCAGGCAGGAATCCATGGAAACCTCTGTTGGATTGGCCCCTCTGAGGCAGCTTGCTAGATAGAATCTGGGGAAGCAGCAAAACAAGGCTGTCAACATTGATGATGAATAACATAGTGCAATGGAGCTAGAATGCCAGGGTAAGAGAGCTAAGGAAAAGAATTTGTTGGATTATATATGTATTTATACTGCAATTTATTTAATGACATCTTAGGTAGCATTATGTTTGGGTACTCTGAGCACTTTTCAAATATTAACCCATTGGGTACCCTAAAAGCCCTCTTTTCTATAAGGAATAAGTGACTTGTTCAAAGCCCTAGCAGTCTAGAACCTGTACTCTTTGTATCTTTATGCTACACTGCTTTTTATCTTTCCTATTTTGTGCTGAGGACTTTGGAGAAACACTCCCATTTTATGTTCACCATAGTTTCTGTGACCCTTATCTTACAGAGGAGGTCAATGTGGTGCAGTGTAGTGATCAGGCTGGAGTCACATGGTAAGGAGGAACAGAGATGTCATTTACACCTGGGCCCACACTCTTACCCCTCCTGCTGTATTGTCCCTTCAGTACAGAATAAATACCCTTCTTCGAGTATTACAAGAAGATAAACAGGATTTAAAAATTTTTTTGACTACAGTCATTCTGCATTATAGGGGAAGGGAAAGGAATTGTATTTTCTTTTACAAACACCCTTCAAAGGGCCATTTGTTTCTGAAAAACTTCTAAAGCAGTGTCTGGAATAGGAAATCAAAGCAAAAGAAGCTAAACTGATCTATTACATGCATTGGGAGAATGTCAGCACCTCACCTCCACACCAAGAATCTACCAAAAGTATTGGGGAGGGGGCTGGACTTGAAGTATTTAGGAAATGTGTAATGGGAGTTCAGGTTATCTTATTTCTGCATTATAGAAAAGTTTACCCTGCCATGTTAGATGACTCTAGGTCACTTGATTTCAGCTGCATGTTCCCAATTATGCTTAAAACATATATGATATTATATATTATGAGTATTATTATCTCAGGGTTTTAAAATAATAAGAGAGATTTCTGTTTTATTTATAAAGTATTCACATTTTATACAATCATCATGTTATTGCTATAAACAGAAAAATCAATAAATATCATAATCTAAACATCCTTTAATAACAGGGGTTTGTTTTATTACATTTTGGCACACCCATACCATGAAACGCCAAAGAGCTATAAAGAAAAAATTAGGTCTATGTGTTCTATATGTTCTAAGGAATAGAACTTGTTGGATTATATATGTATTTATAGGGCAATTTATTTAATGACATCTTAGGTAGCATTATGTGTTGAGATTAAAAAAAAGATACAAGTTAAAATGTATATACTTGTAATGCACAAAAATTAACCAAGCCCTGATACCTGGGCAGGACTTATAAGAAAGGAAAATAAGATCTATCTTTCTCATGAGCATAAATGTAAAAATCAAACAAAATATTAGCAAATTGAGTTCAGCACTATATAAAGACTATATCATGATCAAGTAGAGTTTAGACCAGCAATGCAAAATTAGTTCAACATTAAATGTTAAAGAATCCAGTTGATGTAACAAACCACATTAACAAATGAGAAAAAAATCAAGATCATCTTAACAGATGCGGAAAAAGCATTTGACAAAATTCAATACATATTCATGATATTCTCTGAAAACAAGGAATAAACGGGAACTTCAAGTTGATAAAAACCACCTACGAAAAACCTACAGTGAACATATTTTAATAATGAAAAACTAGATGCTATTCCATAATGTTGAGAACAAGACATGGAAAACCATTCACAGCACCTCTATTGAACATCAGGTTGAAGGTCCTAGCCAGTATAATAAGAAGAATAAATAAAAGACAAAGATTGAAAAGAAGATACAGAACTGTCTTTATTCACAAAACATGACTATGTACACAGTAAATTCTAAGGCATTTTACAACAAAATAAAGAAAAATAATTACTGAACTAAGTGAATTTAACAAGATTTCAGGATACAAAAATCAACATATAAAAATAGACTGCATTTCTATATTAAGCCACAAACTTTAAATGAAATTTTAAAATGTCACTTACAATAGAATAACCATAAAATATTTAGGAATACATTTAACAAAAGATGTGCAAGACTTTTTCACTACAACTATAAAATGTTGGGGATGTAGCTCATTGGTAGAATGTTTGCCTACATTGTTTAAGCCTTGGGTTCAATCCCAGCCATTGGGTGGGAAAAAAGTCTAAAAAATAAAGAACTATAAAACTTTGCCGATATAAAAATTTAAAAGACCCAAATAAATGGAGAAATATACTGTGTCCATGGAAGAATTTGTTAATTCTCCCCAAAATAATCAAAGTTTGGAGTAACCCTAATTACAATCCCAGAAGTTTCTTGGAAAAGAAAACTAATAAGCTTAATAAAAATTTCATAAAGAAAAGGAAAGGACCTGATAACCAAAACAATATTGGAAAAGACTACAACATTTATAATACTTACTTTCAAGACAAAGCAATAATAATTAAGACAGTGGGGTAGGGTTTAAGTATAGACACACATAGATCAAATGACATAAACATCATCCAAATTCACAATTGACTTTTATAAAGTCACCTAGGTAATTCAATGGGTAGGCAAAGATTTCTTAGGACACACAAAAAGTACTAATCACAGAAGAAAAAAGTAATAAAGAAGAATTCATCAAAATTAAAAACTTGTTCTTCAAAACATGCCATTAAGAAAATGAAAAGGCAAGCCACAGAAGAAAATACAATACAGATATCTGAAAAACAATTTGTATCCAGAATAGATAAACAATTCTTACAACTCAATTATAGGATCAAACAACTGAATTTTAAAAATGGACAAAAATATTGGTATGGATTCTTCACAGAAAATATGAGAATGATCAAGAAGCTCAACATCTTTAGTTACCAGAGAAGTGCAAATTAAAACCATAAGGAGATAGCAATATATATCCAGTAGAATGGTTAAAATGAAAAAGACTGACAATACCAAGTTTTGGCAAGATATCATGCAACTGGAACTCTCATAAATTGCTTGTGGGAGTGCAAACTGGTACAATCACTTTGGAAAATGACTTGGCAACTTCACATGAAGTTAAACATCTATTTAGCATACAACCGGTAATTCCACTCCTAGACATCTGCCTAAGAGAAGTGAAAACACATGTTCACAAAAAAAGTTGGACATGAATGTTCATAGCAGCTTTATTCACAATAGTTCCCAAATGGAAACAATTCAAATGTACACTAGCAGGTGTACACTGTAACACATTCATATGACAGAATACTACTAGGCAACAACATGGATGGATCTCCAAAACATTGTGTTAGGAAAAAAAGCCATATATGAAAAAGTATAAACATCATGGTTCAAATTATATGAAGTCTGCGCTGGGGTTGTAGCTCAGTGGAGTGTTCACCTTGCATGTGGAGGGCACTGGGTTCGAGTCTGAGCACCACATAAAAATAAAATAAAGGCATTGTGTCCATCTACAACTAAGAAGTATTAAAAACATTTATATAAAGTCAGATTATGCAGAAATAATCTATAGATCACAACTGTGATTATCTCTGGTGGAACTATCTAGAAAAGGTCAGGATGATGGAAATGCTGTTTGATTAGGGTGGTGGTTATACAAGGATATACTTTTGTCAATATTCACCAAATTGTACACTTAAAATTGGTTGCATTTTATAGTATGCAAATTTTACCTAACAAAAAAGAATACTGGGAAAAAAATAACTTGAAGGATATCCCAAAGTAAGGGAAGTATTTGTCTTTGGGGAGGGCAAGAAAGATTGAGGATATTGTTTTGGGAAGAAGCTTTTAACTGCACATACTTTACAGTGTCAGGATTTTATACCAGGTACATATATTTTTTGGATTAAAAAAAAAAGCCTATTAAGGAAAACAAACAATACTATAAATTTGAGACTGGATGCCAAAATAGTCTGTGTGGGAAATGCCATGACATTCAAAGTAAAGGAGGCTTGTACTCACAAGACAGAAATAATGCACGCTGAGATTGTCTTTCTGAAGGAATTCTCCTAACTTTTCGGGATCCCCAGGTTCTTGAAAGCATAGCCGGCAAACTAGAAGAGTGAATGTTAAGAATTAACTATACAGGCTTGGCTCAAGTTTATCCACAAGAATGGAAGAGAAGTGGGAGCTAACCATATAAGTACAGGAAGGAATACAGATGCTTTTTGACTTATGAAGGGCTTATGTACAGACAAACCCTTCATAAGGTGAAAATATCATTGATCAAAAATATATTTAATACATCTAACCTACCAAACATCTCAGCCTAACAACAAAGCATGCTGTAGAGTGTTGGTGGTTGCCCATCATGGTGTGTGGCTGACAGTGGCTCACTGCCACTGTCCAGTGTTTAGTATCATACCATATATACCTAGCTTGAGAAACGATCAAAATTCAAATTTTAAGTACAGTTTCTATTGTGAATGCATATCAGTTTTGCACCACTGTGAAGTCAAAACATTGTAAGTGATACCATGTTAAGTCAGGAATCATCTGTTTTGGGAAGACAGACATTTTGGCAAGGAGGAAGGTTAGAATGAGGTCTTATTCAGTATCATTTAGGATTTGATATAATTTTGGTCACACTGAAAAAGTTGGCTGCAACTACTCCACAATTTTTGGTTTTAAGTGGCTTTACTTGTTTCTTCAACTTTGTACATGAAATTTACAGAGCGTGAGTTATTCAGGCCCTTAGAGAATCTGGGAAGGAAGTAGGGTTGATAGTGAGAGAACCAAGTTTACTGCCCTATACAGGTGGCCTTCTTTGCTGAGGTCTGCAGGCAGCAGCTGAACACAGCCTCATCTTTCTTACCAGGCCCTGAAGATGGCTTCCTCTGGGTTACCTTCCTAGTCCTGGCAGATTTCCTATACAAGAGAAAGAAGTGCAAGAGGCCCTTTGAGGATTGATAACCCTTATAACATTTCCCTTAAATGCCATTCATGTCTGATAAAGAACCAAAATATTTAAAGACTAAAGTATCAACTTATTTTCGTAATTTTTTTTTTTTTTTTTTGTGGTGCTGGGGATTGAACCCAGGGCCTTGTACATGCGAGGCAAGCACTCTACCAACTGAGCTATCTCCCCAGCCCCTTATTTTGATAATTCTTAAAAGCATAAAATACCCACTAAATTATCTGAGGGTGATAAAACCCCTTTTACTCTTTTATTGCTTACTGTGCCAATACTAAACTGAATTGTAAGGGTATCACCTTCACAAAGCACACTAAAGTGATATCAAAGTTAACTAAGCATTACCCATTGCTAGATACTAACCTTGCCCTTTACTACAGAACAGAACATTCTAAAAAGTGGGTTTGAGTTGGGGTTCAAGTGCTCAGTGGTACATCACTTGCTAGCATGTGCAAGACCTTAGGGTCTGATCCCCAGCGTGGGTGGGTGGGGAAGGTAGCTGCTATTATTTTGCACATCTTATAGATGAGGCATAAAGAAATGATTCGTCAGGTGCTAAAAACGTACTTTGGAGAAAAGATAGCCTCTTCAACAAATGGTGCTGGGAAAACTGGAAATCCACATGTAACAAAATGAAATTAAACCTCTATCTCTCACCATGCACAAAACTCAACTCAAAGTGGATCAAGGACCTAGGAATTAAACCAGAGACTTTGCACCTAATGGAAGAAAAAGTAGGCCCAAATCTCCATCATGTTGGATTAGGTCCCAACTTTCTTAATAAAACTCCTGTAGTGCAAGAATTAAAACCAAGAATCAATAAATGGGATGGATTCAAACTAAAAAGCTTCTTTTCAGCAAAAGAAATAATCAGTGAAGTGAATAGAGAGCCTACAGAATAGGAGCAAATCTTTACCACAAGCACATCAGATAGAGCACTAATCTCTAGAATATACAAAGCACTCAAAAACTTAACACCAAAACAAACAAACAAACAAACAAACAAACAAAACACCAAAAACAAATAACCCAATCAATAAATGGTCTAAGGAACTGAACAGACACTTCTCGGAAGAGGATATACAATCCATCAATAAACATATGAAAAAATGTTCAACATCTCTAGCAATTAGAAAAATGCAAATCAAAACTACACTAAGATCTCATCTCACTCCAGTCAGAATGGCAGCTATCAAGAATACAAATAACAATAAATGTTGGCGAGGATGTGAACTCATACATTGCTGGTGGGACTGCAAATTAGTGCAGCCAATCTGGAAGCAGTATGGAAATTCCTTGGAAAACTTGGAATGAAATCACCATTTGACCCAACTATCCCAGTCCTCGGTTTATACCAAAGGACTTAAAAACAGCATACTACAGGGACATAGCCATATCAATGTTTATAGCAGCACAATTCACAATAGCGAAATTATGAACCAACCTAGATGCCCTTCAGGAGATAAATGGATAGGGAAACTTTGGTATATACACAAAATGGAACATTACTCAGCATTAAAAGAGAATAAAATCATGGCATTTACAGGTAAATGGATGAAGCTGGAGAATATAATGCTAAGTGAAGCGAGCCAATCCCAAAAAACAAAAGGTCAAAAAGTTTTCTTTGATATGAGGATGCTAGCTCATAATGACGATTGGCGGGGAAGCATGGGAGGAATGGAGGAACTTTACATAGGGCAAAAGGGAGGGAGGGGAAAAGGAGGGGGGCAAGGGGGTAATAACGATGGTGGAATGAATTAGTCATCATTACCCTAAGTATAAGACACGAATAGTGTGAAATACTTTGTGTACAATCAATGTCTTGAAAAATTGTGCTCTATATGTGTAATATGAAATGAATTGCATTCTGCCATCATGTATAACAAATCAGAATAAATTTTAAAAAATTAAAAAAAAAGAAATGATTTGTCTCAGGTAATATAGTAACAAGTGGTAGGGCCAGGACATTAATTTAGGTAGTAAAGTTCTAGAGCCAGAACTTTGCAACTAGGGAATGATTTAGGTAGAAGGGCAGCTTCCTGGGACATTGATATGTGCTTTCACATTGTCCAATCCTACTCCTTGGGACCAGGCCAGGCCAAAGGGAACAAAAAAGTGCAACTCTACAAGTCAATGGACAACTCGCCTATATCACCTACTCTACCTCAATCTTAGGCGTTCCTTCTTCTTTTCTTTTATAGTCTTCATTGGTTGCTGCCTCTCTCTCCTATCTTGAATTCTTCTATAGTATTATGAAGACAATACAGGCTCTTCCAGCTATAAATATAAATAGGGCTTGGTCAGCAATTTAATCCTACATTTGGTTATCAAGTTCCACAGGATCAAAGCAATAGTGCATTTCACCTCTCAACCCATGTGATGGAATAAAAGGGATGTACCCAGTATCAACAATAATAATAGCTAATAATTATTAAAACTGTGTCAAGAATTGTTCTAGGTACTTCATATATGTTAACACACACACACACACACACACACACATGCATTAGTTACTATTATTATGACCACTTTCAAGATGAGAAGACTAAGACATGAAGAAGTAATTATCTTGTCCAAGGTCAGAGTTAGTGAGAAATAGAGGTGGGATTTCAACCCAAATAGCCAGATTCCAGAGGCCAACATGTTGAACTGCTATCACATAGCAATGTAAGAATTTGGAATCATCGCTTAACCTAGAAAAGTGATTGTTTTCTTTGTGTCTACCAAATGCATGAGTAAAAAAGTCACCTTTTGCACCCAAGTGTGCAATTTGCCCAGTAAAAGCCAGGTGAGGTAGCTCTCTCCTAGAAAAAGGAGCATGTAAGGTTTTGGCTGCATAAAGGCAACAATTCCCTCAAAAAATAACACTGACAGTGACTCAGGAGTCTGAGGGAGAAGGATCGTGAGTTCAAAGTCAGTCTCAGCTATTTAGTGAGGCCCTAAGCAACTTGGTGAGACCCTGTCTCAAAATAAAATATGGACAAAGTGCTCTGGATGTGGCTCAGTGGATAAGCGCCCCTGGGTTCAACCCCTGGTACAAAACAAAACAAAATAAAACAAAAAACACTGAAAAATCAGCCCCTTAGCTCCTATTACTCCTTTTCACCAGGATCAAATGGCCACTGAGGTTTGGCCTGTTCCTAACCTATGTCTAGATATGAGCAGTGTAAAATACCCTAAAGTGGATGACACCTTGCCACTCCTCTAGCCACCAATGTCAGCAGATTAGAAAGTTTCGAGGTTTTCATTGGTGGTGGGTAAATCCCTGAAAGTGAAGGGGGACAAAAAGAAATCAAATTCACCCCTATGAAGGAAGGACTGTGTCTAGTCGGAGGATAATATTTCTTAGAAGTAGAGCAGGGTGAATTAGGTCACTCCAGAGACACACTCCAGTCACTCCAATAGGTCATGGCCTCGGATCAAGGCAGGGGATCATGAATCCCTCCGGGGACTTTCAACTATTCTGCATGAATACCACTCTAAGACAGTAGCTGCTCAGAAGACCAAGGCTAGCCTGCCCGCCTTGTGCTTGCTCCATCTCCTCTTCTAACCCATGAGTTGCAGTTGCAAAAGCTGACATTTGTCGCCTTCTTACTCATCAAAAGCGCTTGGACAGGCTGGAAGAGGAGAGAAAAGGGCGCACGCGCTAAAATTTGCTGTTCCCATAAGGGACCCACTGTAGCTGACATGACTGAGTGGTTCTCAGTTGCTGGGGTTATCCCGATCATCTAGCAATAGAAATAAACCTTGAAACTTCAGTTGTTTGCATCGCTGGACCACGACGTTCCTTGGGTAGGATTCTGTGCACACCGGTAGTTACAAGACGCAACAATCTTCAAAATATTAGAGGAGGGGCGTGGCCAATGCGGGCTTCCACAAGCTGCTCAGTCCGTGATTTCCTAACCCGGCGGTTGCTCCCTCCAAACGCTTACCAAGTTGTTTCACTGTAAAAATGCTGGGCAAATGCTTGTTGAGAAAATGAAAAAATAAATTAACGTGTTCGGCCCCGCCGCCGTCGCAAGATAAGCACTGATTTATTTGGAAAATACGTGTCGGTGTGGCCACAACCGTCCCCGGAGGTAACTGCCGGAGAAGAGGCTCAAAGACCATCCCGCGGGTGCCAGACCAGGCTCATGTCGCGCCTGCCGGGCGGCTGATGCGGGGTCGGGCCGGAGGTGGGCTCCGCTGCTCGCTCCTCACGATAACTCAAGGGCCGCTGCTCCCGGCCGGGGCTGCCCACCCAGCTATCGCTGAGGGCGCCGCTGTCCGGGAGCTTTATTCGTTGTCACAAGCCGTGATAGCTACCTCACGGGCGGCCGCCCCGCGCGGTGACTGCACCCCGCGAAGGAGGCGAACGTGCAAACAGGGGTTGGGTCACGCGGACTGTAGCCCACCCAGAAGGCCGTAACGCCGACCGTTGCCAGAGCGCGACCGCTAACGGCCGCGCGCTAACGGCCACGCGCCTGCCCCGCCCCTCCATGCGTGCGCGTCCGTCTCCGAGCGCGCGCCCGCACCCGCACCGGCAGTCGGGCCAGCGGAAGTCGAGCCTAGAGGCGGGGCCGTCGCGCAGTGGTGACGTTGTGTTGCCGGCGCGGGCTGGTGACGCGGCGGGGCCCGTTGTGTGTGTGTGGGGCTGAGGGGCCCCGGGGGCGGTGGGGGCTCCCAGCGGGGGCGGCGGTGGGTCGGAAGGGCCTGGACATGGAGTTGAGGGGCCGCCCCGCGGGAAGATGAATAAGGGCTGGCTGGAGCTGGAGAGCGACCCGGGTGAGGAGAGGGCAGGGCGGGCCTCTGGGGTTGGGGAGGTCGGAGGGGGTCTGGACACGGCTGCCTGACCACCACCCCATCCTCTTGTCGCCCTACCCAGGCCTCTTCACCCTCCTGGTGGAAGATTTCGGTAAGTGCCTCCCCCGCCCGCGCTACCCGTGATGTGGGGGCCCATCCCTGAGCCCTCGCCGCAGGGCCAGGGGCTGCCCTTTCCTACCGTTTTCCTTTTCCTGATTGCAGGAGTCAAAGGGGTGCAAGTGGAGGAAATCTATGACCTTCAAAGCAAATGTCAGGGGTGAGTGGCTGGGCCGGTCCTTGCACCCAAAGGGCTGGGGACAGGCGGGAACAGTTTGCCTCAAGAGAGGCAGTATCAGGAAATTCAAATTGTAAAATATAATCTACGGAAACTCCCTTATACTTGGATGCTCCCCTAATCAAGCTATTTGTTTTCTGTCTTCCCTCAGTGCTTCCCTTTAGGTAGTAGCCCTCCCCCCATCCTTAACCATCCTTGGGGTAACGTTCAGCTGCCTTTTCTGTTCTTGCAACAGGAAGTCCCTTGCAGCAGGAATCCCCAGGTCATACAGTGCCTTTTGTGCAACTGTGTAATTCATTAATATGTTCTTATTTGTACTGTGGCTGTAATTTCTACACAAAGATCTTCCTGTATTGATTGATTGATGTAACAAGGCCCTTCCTAGGTGCCCAAACTCAGGGTCTTGTCCTGTTGATGCTACAGAATAGAGGTAAATAGAGAGACTACTATAGGGACTGAATCATTTTCTGGAAAAGAAGATACTAGTGTGGGTGGCTTTATTGGGGCTTTGCCTTGGGGTCCACATTTAAAAATTAGTGCTTAAATTCATCATCAGGCATAGTATTTGTTCTTGACTTACTTTGTGTTCTGACCTTGTTTCTGGCCTCTTGGTTCCAGCTTTTCTACTCAAAACCATAGATTTCATAAGGAGACTGGGAGGATTCTTGGAGCATCACAGTCAGAGCTTATGTTTGACTGTACTTGTGGCAGGCCTTTGGAGTGTGAGAGCTCAGGGCCATGTTAGATATAGTATCGGGAAGAAGCCAAGGGAGAGGTGGGTTCATGACAGGAGCACTCAAGTTTGACACGGTGCAAAGAATAGGGGAAGAAAGAGGGGAATGCTGATTTCCTTCTGCTCTTTATTCCCCCAGCCCTGTATATGGATTCATCTTCCTATTCAAATGGATCGAAGAGCGCAGGTCCCGTCGCAAGGTCTCCACCTTGGTGGATGATACGTCCGTGATTGATGACGAAATTGTGAATAACATGTTCTTTGCCCATCAGGTCTGCTGGACTGTGCTTGTTTGGAGGGTGGGATGCTGACATTTTTTTTTTTTTTTTTAACTTGGAAAAGGGAAGTAGGAAAGGCAGGAGGAGGAGATAGTCAGATTCCAAGGGTGGTGGCTATAGAACCCCCTTGGCAAAAGAATCTGGCTTTTATTCATTAAAGGGAATATTTTTAGAGTAGGATAGTATCTCAGTCCATTCTCCATGTTTCCAGACACTTGGGGGGTATTGAGTTAGTGCATGTTAAATGAACAAGTGTTGGGTAAAGATGAGGGGAATTGATAAGCATTGTAGTTCAGATATGACTCCCTGTCTTACCCCCTCTTCCCAATGAATATGGTTTGGGGGAGCTTGGGGTGAAGGGTGCTATGTATGAATATTCTTGGTTTCACAGCTGATCCCCAACTCTTGTGCCACTCATGCCTTGCTGAGTGTGCTCCTCAACTGCAGCAACGTGGACCTCGGGCCCACCCTGAGTCGCATGAAGGATTTCACCAAAGGCTTCAGCCCTGAGGTAGGCTGCAGTGCCTTGTATCTGGCCCATTGCTGGCTAGGCAGATTTGATCATCAGGGCCATTAATATTGCTACCACTTGGTATATGTGGTACTATTTAGCTATTTCTTTTTCAGATGGTTGTTAATATTATATTTGACTTGCAACTAATTGTGTAAGGCAGTTGGTTTGTTTTTTTTTGTAGTACTAGGATTTGAACCCAAACCCTTAGGACCTTCAGGTGCTTGGGGCCTAGTGACAGGGGGTGGGATAGATACTGAGAATATCTAACTCTAGCCAGGATTTCACCCTGCACTGCATTGCCTGACCAACTCATGACTCCCTGACTCAATCACACTTCTCTATCTTCCTTTTCATCCTACCACTGAGTTATATTTCCAGCCCGATTTTTTTTTTTTTTTTTAATATAAGTGACACCATGCCAAAACCTTCTCTTTTGGTACTTTTGTTCTCCAGTATCTTCTGATTACTGTGCAAGGCCAGTACACCCATTTCTTTGGGGAACCCAGAACTCTCCACTATCCCTTTAGGAAAGCTCATCTATGTTGCTTCAGATTCTGGACTGTCTCTGGAGCATTGCCCCTACCCAGGACTCCATTTGAAAAGCTATTCTGATGTGGCCTTATTTTATCCCTCCTAGAGCAAAGGATATGCAATTGGCAATGCCCCAGAATTGGCCAAAGCACATAATAGCCATGCCAGGTATGTGGGAGCTGTGGTAGCTGATGTAGGGTGAGGGTGGGAGAGAGTGTCATCTGTTAGGGCCCTGACACTTTGTCCTTCTCCAGGCCTGAGCCACGTCACCTCCCTGAGAAGCAGAATGGCCTTAGTGCAGTGCGTACCATGGAGGCGTTCCACTTTGTCAGCTATGTGCCTATCACAGGCCGGCTCTTTGAGCTGGATGGGCTGAAGGTCTACCCCATTGACCATGGTAGGCACCCTCATCTAGGGGCCTGTTGAATCTCTGTTTATTTCCTGGGTATCTGGGGCTTAGGACCCTCAGGTGCTTGGGGTCAAGTGGCAGGGGGTGGGGTAGATACTGAGAATATCTAATTCTAGCCAAGATTTCACCCTGCACTGCATTGCCTGACCAGCTCATGACTCCCTGACTCAATCACACTTCTCTATCTTCCTTTCCATCCTTGACCTGCCCAAACTCAGGATTTCCCACCTGCTGATTCCTCGTCTTGGTCTCCCTAGGGCCCTGGGGAGAGGATGAGGAGTGGACAGACAAGGCCCGGAGGGTCATCATGGAGCGTATTGGCCTCGCCACTGCAGGGTAAGGATCCGGAGCCTGATGTGCTATATACTTCTGGAACTGTGCCCTCTTTGAGATTGTAAATCTCAAGGTCATGTAGTAATCTGGCAAGAACAACTTTAGATTCTGGGATTCCAATTTCTAGTCTTGTTTCTTGCCTGTGGCTCGCTCTAGGATGGGCTGGGGGAGAAGCAGGCCTTGGCAGAGCCCTATTTGGTCCAGATGATAAGTCATTGGAGGATACCAACTCAGGTGTCTGGGGTGCATGGTCAGCCACTGCCCACCTGTTGGGGTTGGGCCTATACCTATGGCTGCAGGTGTGACTGCAGGGAGCCCTGCCAGGATATCTGCCTCAACCTGATGGTGGAGCTGGGGTGGGAGCTGCTCTCACAGCTACGGCTGTGACTGCAGGGAGCCCTACCACGACATCCGCTTCAACCTGATGGCAGTGGTGCCCGACCGCAGGATCAAGTATGAGGCCAGGTTGCATGTGCTGAAGGTGAACCGTCAGACAGTACTGGAGGCCCTGCAGCAGGTAGATGCCCCTCTTCTCTGGCCCTGACCCAGCCCAACTTAATTCTCCTTGCCTTTGGTGCAGTGCAGGATCTGTCTCTGATTCCCAAATCACACTCTATTGTGAATCTGGGCTTGAGCTAACCACTCCTTTCCTTTGCTTTCTTTGTGGAACTTGGGAGGGAAGGGAGAATGGCTTCTTATAGGAGGTTGTGGTTTGGCTTTTATTTTCCTGTGAATGGGTAGAACCAAAGCCATTGTGCTCTCTCAGCTTTTAGCTGACTAGGGTAGAGGCTTGGCTCTGCCCTCCTCTGAGCCTTGGATTCTGTTTTCAGTTGATTAGAGTAACACAGCCAGAGTTGATTCAGACCCACAAGTCTCAAGAGTCACAGCTTCCTGAAGAATCCAAGCCAGCCAGCAGCAAGTCCCCCCTCGTGCTGGAGGCAGGCAGGGCCCCAGCAGTCTCTGAGGGCATCCACACAGGTACTGGGTGGGGAGTGTTTGGGGGCTTCTTTCCTGAGAAGAAGAGTCATCCCTCATAACTTGACCTGGGAGGCCCATACATACCAAGTCTTTCTCTGTAGAAGCACTTGGGCAATTGGCAATGCAGAGTCTTCTACCAGAGGCCTGAAGGCCCAATGCCTGAAGCTCTTTTCACTCAGAACATAGAAGGAGAGTAGTCCTTCCCTAACAGTTATCTGTAAAGAGCTGCCATTACCCCAGGCCCCTGTACCCTCTATAATGTACCCTTCCTTTCTTCTTTTCTCTAGAGGCCTCTTCTTCCTGACTCCCTCTTTTTTTCCATCTCCTCCTTCTCTCAGTCTTGCTGTGGGACCATGATTTAGAGCTTGCTGACTCCTATTCTGCCAGTTGGCTCAGCTCTTCTCCTCTGGGAAGGGAGGAGAGCAGTGCTATGTTACAAGATTGGGGACACTGTGGGCTTTTCTTGAGGATCTGACTGAAGGTCCTGCCTATACTCCTTGCCCTGTCTCAGACGGTGCAGAGGAGGTGGCTGGTTCATGCCCACAAGCTCCGACCCACAGTCCTCCCAGCAAACCCAAGCTGGTGGTGAAGCCTCCAGGGAGCAGCCTC